TCATCTGTACGCGTCGAAGCGAGCGTTGAACTACCTGCTACTTGAATTTGAATTCACTCGTTCGGTCCATACTCCGTACAAAGGCCCGTTGCATCGGGCGATACGGGTGGAGATGAAGCCGTGGGAGGGAGGGGAATTCCCAATGACGAAACCCATGAGATATTAAATGAATTCGCAATCGCTTGGACTAAAGTGAAATCCATTACTGACTTTGCTCATGATTGATAATTGATACGCTTTTTTCTCTCTCTTTCTTGTGTGTTTGGTATTGTTCGCCTATATTTTTAAAGTTCGACTGCAAGTGTACGGCTTCGCTCGTAGTATGTGGCAAGCAAGGTCGTATCCCAAGAGACCAAACAACCAATTAATCAAGTACTAGATAATAAAAGTGTCAATTTTATTTAGACGACCGAATATGAGATTGATTAACTAAACTAAGCAAATAAATCAAAAGATAAGAAATCAATAACAAGAAAACAACTAGAAAAACACTTAAGAAGAATATATGAGAATGATAGATTCTAAGACTATGGGTTCAATTAACAGTTGGGTTCCTTCAAATATATCACAACTAACTATTTTCTTTATCTACCCTATAAAATGATCACAAAATTAGCCTATCGTCCCTCTCGAGATCGATAAAACCGTAGATTAAATCACATATATTAGCGTCTCCACTCAACACATGCAATTCAACTCCAAATAGATTAAAAGATCTAAAATCCTCACAATTACCTACTAATCTCTCGATTCAAGCAAGTAAATTATGTCAAGTATTAAAGACCTAATATTGAACTCATCTCTCGAATTATGAACAATATTGTCAAACATGTAAAAGAATTGATCAAGTTCTAAACATGGAATAAGAACAAAATACTTGAATAGGGTTCAAAAGAAAAACAATAAATTATAAATAAATCATCCAAAATCCCAACATATTAATCTACTACCAAGTCTTAGAATCAATAAATCTAGCTACTCATGTTCGAATTCAAACACATAGACATATTAGAAATCGACATGATCAATAAAAGTTTAAGAGGAAAGAAGAAATAAAAACTAGGAATCTCGTCGATCTTTCAATCTTCTTGATTCCTTTGTAGTTGATCCTCCTTTTTGCTTCCCAATTGCTTCTCTTGTGTGTCTAGGGCTCTCTCCTTGCGTATTCACGTTCTCGGGCTCAAAATAAGGTAAATATGCCTTTTTATATGTCCAAAAGTCCTCTCCTTATCCAAAAAGGCAACAATTAAAAATT